ACCGATCTGGTAGAGTGTGCGGACATTGAGTGCGGCTAAGTGGAAAGGAGATTCTGGTTTTTAAATTCTGATAGCCTCTGATTGGTTGACCTTATTAGTGGATCGCTGTGGGATACGCGATGGGTCTCGTAAGCAGGAGGCACCTGAGAATATTCCGGGTTTGATAAGAAGGACTGGACAGATGGGGAAGAGGGTTTTCCAAATGAGTACCCAAGGCTTTAGGGCACGGTATACTTCGCGGTAGCCCACGGCGACGAAAGGGTTTTTCTTTGGGAACCCTAACCGGAGCCTTTGACTCAAAAGTCTGACCCACAAGGCGTTGGGGCATAAATCCAACGCGGGAGCGTGAACGGAGCACCTGTATGGGAGCTTTTAGAGACCTGTCACACAAGGCCTTTGAATTTCGACTAATTGTGTTGTTCGCTGGTGCGTTGGTTGACGGTCCGCTTTTCGGGATCGGCCNGAGACAAGCGGATCGTGTACGGGACAGCACATTATTGGCTGGGGGCTGCCCAGCTTGGGCGGGCGGTAGCTGTCGAATGATGTGCGAAGACTTCTCCCACCGTCGGGAGGAATCTTCAGGTACCCCGCTTTTACGTCCATCTAGCGGGGGTTTTCGACACCGGAACGCCCCTCACCGTGTTTATTTGCTGGAGTGACCTCTCCAGGGGCGGGTGTGGATAGAAGAAGCCAGGGGGTGCCCAAACAGCTGGCTTGTAAGACTGAGCTTCGTCTGGCCTCTACCCGTTGACCTTTCAGGGATAATTGGATCTACGGCTGTGAGAAGCCATCCTGTGTAGCTCGCAGGGTCATGGAGGCACGAAAGCCGTCACACTGCGTCAAGGTGCAGTCTCGTCGTGATGGTCTTGCCAAAAAGGGAGTGCATCAATTATCCCCGGGGTAAACTCTGCTCTTGTTCCTCCCATATGCATTTGCGCGAACACTCACAAGTACATTGAGTCAGTTGAGGCTTGTTCGGCTCCGTGGTCCTTGCAAATTTTGTGTGGACTGTTTTCCACCGTCGGTCGTCGACCTCTCTCAAGACATCCTTTGTGTTCGAATATGAGTACAGTCTTGGTTTCGGTACGTAGCTTTTTGTTAATCAGTAAACAAATTGGTATGAAGACTAAAAACCATGGGTGTAGGATAAACTACAGAAGGAAAACATGATAGATCTCTCAGTAACGGCGGTTGTCGAGTGGTAATCCTATCTTTCTGTATTTTGAGTTAGATCCCCGCCGTTGTTGTCCTACTTTTCATTTTGTTATCTAACAGCTTTCAACCCAGAATATTGAATGTACAATTTTTGTGCAGTATGCCTGAAAACTGAATCCCGAAGGGCACCCAATCAATCGGCTCATCGGACGCGTTCCGCATGCCATTGTGCACTGGACACACCGAAAGAAGTGGATCATATTTCAGCCTAAACGCCATAGAGCATGCACGTAGGAATCAACTGATACACGAACTTGCTTCGGTCGTGACTCAAGCAATCCGTTCACCGACCAACTAATCGGATTCAGACTATTTCGAGCATAAGAGAGCATGTGTTCGCCGGTCCGTTTTGTTTCAATGACCGCGGCACCAGGTGTTCAGCAGAAAACNCCAACAAGACATAAAGGCTTGAAAATAACACCTCTCGACTTATGAACCAGCCCACGCTCATAGTGCGCAGTTAGTTCAGGACAGCTCATAAACCCTGATGCATGAACTGTCATTCCCTTCATACCAAACTCGCCCAAGAAGACCCAGATTACTGACACTGCAGTTATGTGATATGTCTTCATGTCTCACTTGTATTCCGGTTGTGGTTGATATCGTGAGAATTCTCAATGACATTGACAGTCCTCACACTGGACCTTGACCAATCAGATTGCACCACGAGGCTGTTTGTCATTGATTACCAGTCTGTTAATGACCTATGCGGCTGTGGATATAATCCTGAAACGTACCTAATGAGACGATTTACTTTTCGTGCACATTAATGGATTTCCAGAACAATACCCATTTTATTATTAGCACACAAGTCCGAAGGCGAACAATTGTTTTTGAATCAATAATAATCGTGTCTATACAGATCACATAGGGGTTTGTTGTCAGTGCGGACACGTTTTCCTAAAAAGACCATTTAGCAAGGGAAGAGGGAACGAGGTAGGGTGGCGTTCGTGTATCTCCTCATTTTTTGCAAACTTAGTTCACTGCAACTCTTCATTTTATATTCGACTTTACTTTCAACTCTCTTATCATTCTCTTACTGCTCTATCCAAGTGCGCGGCCAAAAGACAGCAGCCAAAACCGGTGCACGAAAGTGCATGGTTAATGGTTGTACAAACTGAAACTGGGATACTGTGAACCCTGTGTGTCTGTGTTTGGGTGAGACCGATTGTGATTGGAGTGTTGGTGATGGTGATCAATTTGGAGCCGGAGTAAGTGGAGAGCTTGAGCCAGCCGCTTTTGTGCCTATAGCTGTGGTGCGAAAAGGCGACTGTCTATCACCTCAGCACTGCCTTAGAAAAGAGGGGAGGGCAGACTATTGATTACGCTAAACGCGGATTCTGGTCTAATGTGATGGCCTACATCCACTAAATGCCCAAGAATGGCGCTTCCGATGCTTACTGTGCATACTGGTCTTAAATAGCGTGGGCAGTGTTCTTTCTTTCGTTAGGATATTTGCCTCGCCGTGTGGCCCGTGTACGTTGTATTACAAATGCATCGGAAGGAATAAACAGCGCATTCGCTAACATCGTCTTTTAATGCCAGTCCGTTCATGCAGATAACGCTCCTCAGAATTCAGCGAATTTTGTTTAGGACACATCTGTTTCAGTCGGATTTGCCTGTCAGGGGTCATCATTTTCGTTTTTTTGGCTGGAGACTGTTTGCAATGGCGTGTCATACGTACGAGTTCCAAGCTTTGAAACACTGTACAGCTGTTTCAGCCAGCAGTGCACACCCATCCATCTTGCGGCTAATCAAATCTGGGGGTTATGCAGGGTTGTGAGTCCTTCACCCGCCAGCTCATCTAGCTTCAGCGGTCGTAGCAACACCATCCGTCCTTGACGTCAGATGTTCATCCACTATTATCTAAAGTCCTTAATCTATTTGTATACAGTACGAATGAACAGACGGCAGAACACGTCCGGTGTATGTGATCCAGTCCAAGGTAACAAACCACCACCTGTGCATCAAGCGGGATTACGGGGTTGTTTTTTTGCAGTATGTTATCGGTATGAGTTAGTTCGTCGTATACAGAACACTGGAGTCTACCCTCTTGTTCGTAGTGCTGATTGTGTTTGAGGCAGTTATCTCTTTTCGTAGACATGTGTGTACCCTATAGCTCCCTTCACAGTGGCCACCTCCTCCCGTGCAAAATTGAAAAGGACTCTAATTACAGTTAATGATTGTATATTTAATGCTACCCAGCGAGGTCTAGTATTTCGGTCACAATTAAATCAAAAGCAGAATGACTTCCTTCCACTAGTTTTGGACCTTTGTTCACCCTCATCGAATTTCATTGAATGATATGTATTTAGTGTTATCTCAGTGTTTTTTATATTTGCACAATCACTTTCTGCTGTTTGAAACTCTTGTCATGTTTCAGACTCGAAACAGCTTACCGAACAGAAACGCGAACAATTATTAACTGAAATGTTGCAAAATACTGATTGGGTTGTATCCGGCATCCACGTGATCAGCCCGGTGTTTATCACTGAGAAGATGCTAGATCGGTAAGTGGAAAGCCTGGCAGATTTTTATCGACCGATCTATATATATTTATATTGTCAAATCTCTTACTTATGACAGGTTTGCAACAGGCTTCATTTCATGCGCAGTTTCCTCTACTTTTTAATTTGGTTGTTTGAAGATGCAAAACCAATCTGAATACCATATCACACGACGCTGCTATTGGCCTTATTCAAGCGGCATTGGACGCCGGCATCAATGTGACAGAGGTAAGTTACGTATTACTGCAATTTTTCACACTGATGTCAGTTCACAGTTGCTAAGACAAAGGCAGATTTTCTACCGCTTAAAATAGTTACTCATAAGTAGCTTTCCAACCAATGAAAATCTTTCACATTTCATCTTCATACGCAATCCTCAGTTCTTGCAGTCAACCATACAGTCGGTCTGGAAGAACACCTGGCTCGCTAAATCCTACTCCTCGAGTAATTATCGCGAATCTGTAGACGACAAAGCCCACGGACCATGCGTGCGCACACTTGTGTGTGTGTGTATGTATGTGTGTGTGTGTGTGTGTGTGTGTGTGTGTGTGTACGCTCGTCATTTTTCCGCGATCGTTGATGTGCATCCGAATTAACCATAATGCATTTCCGTTCCCATTCCTTATATTACCGATAAATATGATGTTATTATTTTACTTCATCTAACTTTGGTTATTTTCCACCGGCTTATATTGATTATCAGTGTATTCTTAGTGCAAAGGTGTTGTAGCCACATCTACAGTGATAGATGATTGAAGTAAACGTTTCTTCGATTAAGCACTTGAATAACGATGAGAACTTTGGTGGTATTCGAAAATAGTTCCCGATGTCTTGATGTTCTTATGCGATAAATAGTCCGCAAGACGAGCAGATCCCTCCGGTCTGGCTCCCATCCGTTGACTTCCACGTGTTATGACCAAATCAGCAATGCTTTATAGGCAAACATACGGTACTTATGCCCTTTTGTAGTTTAATAACCGTGCATCACTGTTTAGTTACAACAGAAGACTTGAGCACATGGCACATTTGCTTATATTGTATGTAATTGGTTACGTGTTGAATAAATATTTTTACAATAGGTAATATATGAATAACTCGACAAAATTTCCCTTGGGGTACTTTTGTTGCGGTTAGTGGCATCTAACCCACCTGGAAAATATCGATCTGTAGTATTGATTAATAAATGGACTGGTTCTGAAGGAGCTGTCCAACCCAATTTACCCGGTGTTGTAACTGTCATATTATTCAGTGTATCTGACGACCGAATACGTTGATTCAGATATCCCCAACCAGGGAGTCTAACGCAACCAACATTTTCAAGTCCCCTGGTTCTCAGACCCTCACGAGAGGTTTTATTTTGGCCATCTATAACCTTCCAATCACTATCTCCCTCAGCAAACATTGCACGCGGAGGCAGTTAGTTTGAGGACATGCCCCAGCCAGCGTAATCCGTTTACTTCAATTCTGTATTTTCACATTGACACTGCTTTCAGCATTCGAATTTCCCCTCTACTCCTTCATCGAAATGGGATGCAAAACGGTGGCAGTCGAAACCACACTACAAGGATGCAAGGTTAATGTTTGTATAAACTACAAGTGAGAGAACGAGTATATGTACGCTGCAGACGGAATTCTCAGACGAGCAATATTCACCAAGGCGGGTTGCGATTGTGTAATGACCAAGGGCAATTCATCCCCGCCCATGAGATATAGAAACCTGTACTACTGCACTGGACGAAGTCTGTCGCGTTTATCTTTGTGGTTAGTGCCTACAGGCCACATCCAGTCTATATCGATTGGCACTACCGGAAGTCTTTTCACTGTACTCAATTGTCTAACTGCCAGCCACAATGCAATGCAATGCAATGTGAGATACTTTTTGTTTTCACAGCTTTCCCGGTGTTGCAGTCCGCATTTCATTTCATCAACGAATCGCCTTGCAGGTATTTGTGGATACCGTTGGGAAAGCAGAACACTATCAAGTGAAACTACAAGCCCTGTTCCCCAAGTTGCAGATTTGCGTGGAAAGTAAAGCGGATGACACATACCCGATAGTCAGCGCTGCGAGTATTTTTGCCAAGGTGAGCCCACACATGCACACTGCATCTGGATATATTTACTTTGCGAATTAAACTGATCAGACACTAAGCGCAAATATTACGTTATATTTATCGGTTTAGGACTGCATTATTTCGATTATCAGGACCGAAATCGAAGAAGTTCTCTTTCCTCATCATGACATTAGATTCGAAAAGAAATTTACGAATTAGCCAGGGTGACAGAGAACCAGAAGAACGCTAAATTTGTGTTTCAGCTCCTTCCCGTTAAATCTTTCGTCATGCGATCTTTTTATGCTGCAAAATTTATTAAACGTGCCAACAACCTTTTGCATTCCATGATGTCACTCTCTACTAGTCTTTTCCATAGCACTGTCACAAAATGCGTAGATTGACTTGGACTCTTCCACCGGAATTAAGTTTCATTGTGGTCAGTTGCTTGGATACTGTAGGTCATAGAATCAGTGTGGTCCGTTGCGTGCTTGGGCCTTTATACTGCAGGTTTTATCCGATGAGGCATCAGTTGTACCACCACAAAATATTCCTGGACCGGGATTCCCGAGAGGTCACAAATGCACATTATACTATACTATAGATTTCACTTCATACGAACACAGTTTATTCAGACTGATGCCGTGACAGGTGTTTTGACTGAAGTGAAAAATTTAAAAAGGAGTATCCGGAACAATGATTAAGTTAGTGAACTATAGAAAGATAACTTATCTAAGCTAGCTGAGAAACCTGGATTTCACTTCTCTCTTGTCTACAAGAGGAGTTCAAATTGGCTACCGTAAACCCTGGTTACCACAGTCACTTGTTTGATTTGTGGATAGGATGCAGTAAGCACCCTGAACGGGTGAATCGATTGTTATGGTAAAACGTCCGTCTGATCGGAGAGTTGCTTACCAGAGAAATGCACTTTCCATGCCACATCACTGTCTTATGAACTGGGCTTCGGCTAGCCAAAGGCTCCAACTATGAATATCTAAAACAACACCCACTTTTCTTTGGATATCCAAAGGTATTGGAATCTCAAACAGACCGGGATTGAATTTCGGTGCTTGTCCCATGACCCGTTTCTTTTATAGTATGATCCCAAAGCAATGTAAGATGGATCCACACATTGTCCAATTGCTTTTTGTGGGTCTGTTTTCTCTGTGATACTTCATTTTCAGTTTATACAATTATTGCACTGTTATGCACTCTAAGGAAATCCAGCCGAAATCATGCGCAACACTTCCTGTGGTGCGTGGATGATGGTACGCATAAGTATTTCGTATCACTATGCATTTGCCCTTTTCTCTCAGCCCGTATTTTGATGCATTTTCTGTCCTCCCCCTCTCCTCTTCACGTACCATAATTTCCATGCACAGGTTACGCGCGATCGACTTCTGAATATGTGGCCTGAAAACGAACGAGGTGTTGCGAACCCAGAGCTTGGATCGGGCTATCCTGGAGGTATGCATGTGACTGTGCGTCCACCATTACTCGGCTGGAGTCTATCTTTGTGTGAAAACCTAGTGTCCCGAAAAGCAATGTTGCACCTGGTAGTGGAGTTTGTTTTAAGAACGTGTGTTCAAAATCAGTCAAACGCTCTTATCAAAGATGTTCCCACTCAGAATTCCGTGTATCATTAACCTTCTTCAAACAATACACAACTGTTCTGTCGATCTCGTGAGGAGCACAGCTAGCTACTTGAATAGTGCAAATAGCATTGTCACTAAAGTGTAGTTATTTGTTCGGTGTTGGTATCTGCTGCGAAATGGTAACGGTAATCAGCGTGCAGTCGAAGGGATGTATAGGCGCTTACTGTGACCGTGTTCACATGAAATCAAT